AAAAATAATTTATACCAATTCTTCACAGACTCTTCTAAAAAATAGTAAAGACGTGAATTCTTCTCAATTTATTGTATGAGGGCAGTTACTCTGATACCAAAACCAACAAAGACATCACAGGAAAACTACAGCTAGTCCATCTTTGGAATATAAATGCAAAAATACTCAACAGAATGCTAGAAAACCAAATCTAACAGCATAGAGAAAGGCTTCTGTCCCAGGCTCACGTGGGATCTATTTGAACAACGCACGGCTGCTTTAACATCTGTGTGTGAATAATTTCTTTTAGAAGGATTAGTACAGGGCTCGTCTCTCACATTAACTGCTCCTTTCCTCAGTACCCTCCCTCCCATCTTGTCAAGTCGGTTCATACACAGAGCAACCCTGGGTAATGCTCCTGAGGAATGCTGGTGGATTTGAATCGCCAACCTTGTGGTTAGCAGTCCAGTGGTTATCCTTGGGTTCTGTGATTCACTGCAACATCTCACAGAATTCATGAACAATCCAGGAAGTGACTCACTTGGATGAGGAGTCTGGCAGGTTTCAAAGCCATGCATCCATCTAGTCAGTCTGGAGGACTCCACCCACTCATATGTTGCAGGGCTGATAAAGCCAAAGACAGGCTGCTGGCTCACAGAGCTATGGAAGCTGCTGAATCCATTTTATCAATAGGCTGCTGTGGCACCTGGTAGATCCATCAGCTGATAGGACTGGCTCAAGACTCCACAACTGGAGGTCAGGTGAAGTTGAGTCAGTTGCAGCCTCCAAGTAAGAGCACATGCTCTGCCAGGGCATCCTTTCAGGGAGCCTGAGGGTATTTCAGATGATACGGAAGACTGTGGCCAGAGGGCCACATTAAGTACTTCACTACACCACGGTCTGGATATCAGTTAGCATAATATATAGCAATCAAAAGGAGGACAGAAAACACATGGGCATTGGACCAGTAAAGAGATTTAACAAACAAGGACTAGAAGGGAATTTCCTCAACTTGATAAAGGACATACAAGTATGAAAACCCCATATCTAATATTAATGGAGTAAGACCCTCATCTCCACTCTCAGCACTTCCAGGCTCCATTGTACTGAAGTTAAACTGTACAGAGGGGCTCAGAAAAAGCAAGATAAGACACCAGGGTGAAACGAAGTAAAGCAATCGAATCTCTTGTTACAGATGACTCTATCTTGTTCATAGAAAGCCCTAAGACTCAAGTTCAGCAAGATTGCAGGACATAAGACTGATATGTTGGTTTCGGTTGTTAAGTGCCATCATGTCAGTTCCTATCATAGCGATCCAGTATAGGGTTTCCAGGAAGCAGCTGGTGAGTTTGAACCTCCAACCTTGGTTCAAACTGACCTTGAGGTTGAGTGCTTATCATACAGCACCACACCAGGACTCCAAGATTGATTTATTTGTTGTTGTTGTTAAGTACCGTGGAGTCGGTTCCGACTCAGTGACCCTGCACAGGGTTTTTGAGGCTGTAAATCTTTACGGGAGCAGAAAGCCTCATCTTTGTCCTGCTAGTAGTTTCGAACTGCTGACTTTGAGGTTAGCAGCCCTATTCGTAACCACTGTAAGCATCAATTATATTTCTGTACACTTGGAATGAATAGTCTGAAAATGAAGTCCAGAAAGCAAGTTGATTTGCAATAGCATAAAAAAGAATATATTTAGGAATAAATTCAGCAAATGTAAAACTTTCACTCTGAAAACTACAAAACATTGTTGAATAATTCAAGGGAACCCTAAAGGAAAGCTTCCTATGATTATTGATTAGAAAAGTTACTGTTGTTATGATACTCCCCAAATTTATCCCATAGATTCAACACAGTTTCTTTCAGAACTTTACCTTGAGGGATGGGTATCTCAGGTGACTGCTTTGCAACAATTGAAGACTGATCCCAAATGTCTTAACGGCAATTCAAGGGAACCAGATTAGCTCAAACAAGTTTAAAAAAGAACAAAGTTAGAGGACTCATACTTAAACCATTTTCATCAAGACAGTGTTGGACGGACATAAGAATAGACACTGAATAGAACTGAGAATCTGACAACAAATCCTCACTTTTGCAGTCAGTTGATTTCCTTTCGACAAGGTTGTCAAGATAATTCAATGGGGAAAAGAAACAGTCACTTCAAAAAATGGGGCTGGGATATTCATAGGCAACAGAATAGATGGTGCGGGACCCCTGCCTCACTCCATAGATCAAAACGAACTCAAAATGAGTCAGTGCCTTAACTGTGTAAGTTACCATTCTGAAATGCTCAGAAGGAACGTAAGCATACATTTGCAGGTTTTTAGATGGGACGATGGTTTCTTACGTATAAAACCACAAGTAACAACAAACATAAGTTGGAGTTCATCAAATTAAAGTTTTGTGCTTCAAGAGATAGCATCTAGAAAGTGAACAGACACCCCACAAATCCTTTCAAGTCCTGTGTTTGATAAAGGACTAGTATCCAGAATCGGGAAAGGGTGCTTGCAACTCAACAGCATTGTTAGTGCTATTGAGTAGATTCGGACTCATCGTGACCCTGTGAGGGTTTCCAGGGAGTGGCTTGTGAGTTTGAACTGCTGACCTTGCAGTTAGCATTCCAGTGCTTATCCCACAGTGCCACACCAGGACCTCCAATGAAGACAACGGGCAGAGGTTCTCAGTAGATGTTTCTCCAGTAGAGCCCAGGAAGAGATGGTCCCCATTGTCTGTCATCAGAGGAATGCAAATCAGAGCTGCAGTGAGATGCCACATCTCACACTTGGTCAGAAAGACGGACAAGAGCAAGTGTTGGTGAAGATATGGCTAGAAGTGGAGCCCTCATACACTGCTGAGGGGAGTGAGCTGCTTTGGAAGGTAATCTGGTGGTTCCTCAAAAGGTTAGCCCTGGACCTACCATGTTGTTTAGTTGCTGGCAAGTCAATCCCAACTTGTGACGAGCCTGTCTGACCCAGCAGTTCCACTTGGAATCTGTCCAAGAGAAATGAAACATGTGCCAATAGAAAACTTATAAACACAGAGGGACAGAAAAAGACATTTGTGAAATATACCTGTTCTATCTACCTGGGTATTTTCATGACTAAAAAAAAAAAAACAACCTTGAATACAAATGTTCGTAACTGCATTATTCATAGTAACCAAAAAGTGTAAACATCCCAAGTGCCTAATAACGTGTAGGTAGATCAAAAAAATGTGGTCTAGCTGTGCAGTGTTAAAATGGCTCAGCCATAAAGGGAAATTGCTACCTAGTACAACATGGACGAGCCCCAGTGAGATGGATCGGCAGTGGGCTCAGGAGTGACAGTGGTGAGGATGGTGCAGGTCGGGTGGGGTTTCCTTCTGTGGTGCAGAGAGAAGGTCATTATGAGTTAGAATTGATTTATTGACAGCACTTATCAATACCACAACATGGAAGAATCTTGAAAACACTATGCTCCTGGAAAACAACAGTCACAGATGGCCACATTGTATATGATTCCATCCGTAGGAAGCTTCCAAACTAGGTAAGTTCCTAGAGACAGAAAGGAGATGAGTGATTCCCAGGGCTGTCGGGGAAGGAGAGGTGAATGGCTAGGCCACCCCACTGCCGTGCAGTCATTTCAGACTCACAGTGACTTTATGGGAGCAGCCTGCCTCATCATACTCCCACAATATAAACTGCTGACTTTGTGGTTAGAAGCCCAGTGCTTAACCCACTGTACCACCAAGGCTACTGGATGAGTGGATCCCCCAAACCCAGCCCACTGCCATTCAGTTGCTTTCAGCCCATAGAGACCCTACGTAAGGTTCCGGAACGATCTAACTTTGTAGGAAGCAGGCAGCTTCATCTTTCTTCTGCGGAGCAGCTGGTGGATTTGAACCGCCGACCTTGTAGTTAGCACCCCAGTGGATTGTGACTGCTGATAAGTGTGGCAAGGTTTTGGGGCCTGTGCTGAAGACGTTAAAGGTTAATTGCAGTGGCTACTTACTCCTATGACTGTATGTCAGGCCGTTGACTGGTACATTTTAAATGAGTAAAGTTGTGGCATGCAAAATTAGCTTCATGAAGCTGTTATTTAATAGTTTTTCACAGAATGTGAATAATTTAGTTGCAAAATCCTATCCTTACCCTTGGGTGCAGGGACTTGACTTGCAAGTTTTTATTCGTGGTTTTGAAGCCCTGAGTGAATAGGTTAGTGCTCTCTCTCCTCATCCCTGCCACTCTTGCCCAGCTTCGTATTCAGACCTGGACAGTGCTGGTGGTCTCTTACTCATCCTGCACCCTGGGTCTGCCTTCCCACTCTGCACTGATTTCCTTCTACCTGCTTTACTGTGTCTATTTCAGTCCCTTCCCTTTTTATCTGTTCATTCAAAATGTATTTCAGACAGGTCATGGAGAATTAGGCCTATCCTTCTCCTTCCACATTTTCCACCAAATCTTACTACCAAGACTTAATCATAGACAAGTGCCTTAACCTGTGAGCCATTGCTACCTGCAGCCATAGGGATACATGGCCAGCCAGTGGCCCCGAAACAGGAAGCTCAACGAACTTCCTCCTCCTTTACGTCACTGGGCATGTTGGAGTTTTATAATTCCGATGCTTAGTCTCAGAAAGTAGTCTGGGCTCCTCCTTTCCTCCTCACCCCGTTCTGTCTGGAAAGCCTCTTGCTGATCTTATCTTGGCCCAAGAATGAGCTTTCTCCCATCCTCTGTTTCTCGACTGTACTTCAGAGGGGAGAGTACAGCAGTGAACCAGAGAGTCTGACAACCACCCCACACCTCTTTCTTGGGAACCTGAAATGTGAGATTCACTGGCCAAAACACTTGGAATAACTGGGTTAGTGTAGCGTGCATGGTTTTCTGTTTATGCCGCAGTATTAAATCATATAACTTAAACAGATTTGAAATAAATGATTTTCATTTTTAGTTACTAACTAGAATGGATAATGAAGCCAACAGTTCTTTAAGGTAGATTTCAGTAACTTTTGATTTGAATTTTATGTTCGTTTCTCTTTCTTCACAGGTAATGGTAATTCTGGATTCGAAGGACAGAGTCGATATGTACCGTCTTCTGGGATGTCTGCCAAGGAGCTTTGTGAAAATGATGACCTAGCAACCAGTTTGGTTCTGGATCCCTATTTAGGGTTTCAAACACACAAAATGAACACTAGGTAATTCTAAGTCTGTCTCCCGAGTGGAACACTTAGTTTTACTTTTACTCAAAATTTAAAATGATGTTGTTAAAGGGAAGTTCTTTGTTACCAAAGTGCTTTTTTATATGTGAGCCACGAGAAGCATCCAAATCTTTTAAGTCTTACCACTTCTGATTCCATGTTCTTATGCTATCTGGGGATATTGTCACTTCTAATTCTGTGTCCTGGGGATGTTTCTATTAAAATATAAAGCTGGCTGCCTGGCTTCATTCTCTGTTGTAAAGGTTGACGATGATGGTCTCAGCTGAAGGAGAGGTTTTTCCTGCTTGAGGAAGGCTACATCCATTGTTCCTTCATGACTTCATTACAGACATTGTTTCCTTTTCAATAATTTCTACTGTATATAGAGAAATTTACCACACGATCTTTGGAATCCAGCTAATTATTATGTAGTAAGCAAATCTTTTTTGAAGACGTGCCTATGTTTAGTGTGTAGATAAGAAAACAGATGGTTAAGTGCTTCGCTGAGTGTCAAATACCATGTATACAAAATACTCTTACACTGATCTTGTCCTGAGGGTCTCTCATTCCTTTATTCTAATCTCTTCCATCATTTCCTACTTGTATCTTACGGAAATGCAGGATTGGCCCCCACACAACAGGAGGGCACAGCTTTGCACCTTGTCTTTACTACTCTCTTACCACCCCACCCCCACCATGGCAAAGGGGTTCCCCAGCAAGCATCAGGGAAAGCAGGTCCATAGGAACTGAGGATGGAGAGCAAGTTCTGGGCCCTGTCCACTGCCCCTTTTCTCTGATGCTGCTTTCTGGCTCCAGGTCACTGGCCCCTGGAAGACAGGGTCACAGGGGACAGTTAAGAATGAGTAGGAGGAGTTGGTGAGGGAAGGTGATTGGAGAAAGTCATGTGTTGGGTTTTTTTTTCCCTTTCAGTATTCTTCCTTGCTAGAAACAAAGCCACATTGTATGGTTCACTTAATAATTACATCCTAAAATCAGAAAGAGGACATTTAGGTAAAAATCTGGCTTTGGCATTTTCATGTCATTTTCTGTCATAAAACTTGGAGTATACTTAGGTAACTCTTTGCCACCAGAGAGGCAGATGTTTAGGGTTGGGTTCCCTAATGTCCAAACAAAGATCTTTTGCTATCATTCTCTTATATCCCTTTCTCCCCCAGCGACCCGAAGGGGCCAGTGCGCATGTCTGCCCAGAAAATCCTGTGGATTGAATCCCTCTGTAACCTTCCTCTTTGTGGGACTCAGAGTGTGGAATGTGTGAGCCACTGTCCTCCCTGGCCTGCAGGACATGGTACTGGAGAAACCCTAGGCTGTAGCCTTCGGTACCCTTCAGGTCTGGCTCCATTTTTAGCCGAGCAGTAGATAGGTGTATAGGACGCACACTAGAGAGGCGCGTACTCCCCCATGGAATGGTCAGTCATAGAAGATTAAGGGGGCAACATTTACCTGAGGACAAAGTTGAGAAGAGATGGGAAGGTGGGTGGAATGAAGATAAGAAGCACAGAGAAGAAGCAGGACCACTGCTGTTCATGGAGGGAATTGGAGTCACTGAGAAGAAAGTACGTGTAGGATTTGTTGGATATAAAACTGATGATACTCTCTGTTACCCTTCACTCAATTCACAATAAAAATGTCCACAATTATGATCCAGAGTCATCAAGAGGTAAACTGTACTTTGTGCACTGAGGTAGGGAAAGACTTAGAATGAATTCTGTCCAAATTACAGTGAAAGAACTAGTTGATTATCAGGAGCCTCCCCTGGTCCGTGGGCACCACCTGTTTTGAGTACAGAAGGTTGTGTGCACCTAGCTTCTGTACTAGGAAATGACTTCAGGTTTTCATAGAAGAAGTCCTGAATCACTGCTTCCTAAAATTCATTTCTATCTGAATCACTTGGGATTCTTGTTCAAATGTGGGTTTGAATCTGTAGATTTGGACTGGGCTCTGGATTCTGCATATCTGCCAAGCTCCCAGACATCACTTGGAATAGCAAGGTGTCCTCAGCCTTCTAGCCCACTTGAGTTGTGTTGTGATGTGAGAAAATGACATAAAGTTCATAACGGGCTCACGTAAAACGAATTCAGAATGTTCCTCAGTACATCATGAGGAACCCGGAAGTTAAACTGCATCGAATTCAAATCATTTCCTTCTCCTAGAATTGAAAACATCTAAAATGAAAGCTGACTAAACAAAATATGCAGAAGAAAGCTCCAGTTTGTATTCCCAAGGCAGCATTTAACTCTGCTGTTATGGGTCCTCAGCTGGCCCTGGCAGGCTGTGTGACCTTAGGCCATTGTGGTTTTGTGGTGTTTGTCATTTTCTCAGCGTCCCCTCTGTGCTTTCCCCAGAAGCCTTCATTGCAAAGGTACCATGAAAGACTTCAACTGACATTTGGAGTGTACACAGAAAATGTATTAATGAAATGTGTAAATGTTAATGGAAAGAACACCTTTTCAATTAATCTTAGTGGATTTATTTGGAAACAAAAGTATCCTTTAGCAAGAATTGACCAGTGTTTATTGGCTTAACATCATTTTTGAAGGTGATGGGAGGAAAATCAGGAAATGCCATAGTGTTTTGTTAGAATAGCAGGTAACTAATGTTTCTTGAACTTTCGCCATGGACTTCTTTTTAAGGTACAAAAGGAGCAAGTGGCAGATGTCATTAGAGCTTGAGTTCGCATTCTGTGGGCAGCCGTGTCCTGTCTGTGTCATTGGTCTCTGTGAGCACTGCATGTTTGTGCTTTATCACCTTTCCTCCTTTGCCGCTTCATTCAGTGCCCCATCAAGAGCAGTGGAGTAGCCGCATCTGCTTGACAGTCTGGAGAATTTCCAGACTGGCTATAACTGGTTTTCAATTGGCACACATCCTGTATTTACGAACGAGGAAGTCAGAGGCCTACCAGGAATACCTGGAAACAGTATACACAAGTAGTATTCCAACTGATGTGGAAAGAATTTGGAATGACTTGACTTGTCAGTACTGAAATTTACCTTCTTCCTTGGAACCCAGCGGGGAGTTGTTAGTAATACCAGTGACTGAAACACAAGTGGCCCCTGGTGTGGGCTGCAGGATTCAGAGCAGGAAGCTGTGTTCCCAAGGACTGAGAAGTGTCATTGAGGCCACTTTTTTGGAACTTGTCTTGGTTTTTCTCCTCCAGAGTTCAGGTCCCATGCTCTTGACTCCTCCTCCTATGTCTGTCGCTGTCTGACACTTTACTGCCCTTGTTCCTGTCCATAGGCCTTGTCTCCATTGTTGGGTATGGATTTGTAAATCACTTAAAGTCAGGTGCTTGACTGTGTGTCAAGAAACCTCTCAGACCTTCTAAATGTCATCAAGGGAAAGGGAAGCATCTTTGCATGTTGCCTTTTGTTAATGTGCTGGGCCTTACACACAGCTCTAGAGAGCTCCTGAATCTCACCATGTAAGAATACTGGCTACAGTTACTGTTGTAAATATGTTTAGAAATGGCAGGTGGAAGCAGTATCAGTTGTGTTTCATTGTTTGTTTTTGCATTCCTGTAGCGCCTTCCCTTCGAGGAGCTCAAGGCAGTTTTCAAAATCTGACAGCTCTCCCCACACCAACCCTGTGAGGTAGGTATGACCCAACAGTAAACTCTGGTGACGTGATGTGAGTGACGCGCTCACCACCATCCTGCTCTTGTACGCTCCGTAATGTGCGGTGTCAGCATAAACAGCACTAGAGCGTTTGCAGACCTTTGAGGAGCCCTCAGTATTAGCTCTATTTAAAGGACACCACTTGTACTCCACAACAGGGGAATTTTAAGAGAAACAAATCAATCATCAAAAGATCAGGAGTCACGCCCTGGGATTAGGACTCAGCCAGGTACGTGTTCGGTTCTCGTTTGTTTGTAGGTTGAGGAGGGGAGAGGAGCCTGTCTGAATCCTCTCAGCTCCGCCCACAATCTCTGTGCAGTAAGACTGTCCACGGGGGGACATATGCCCATTTTCTCACCTCCTGGGGTCTTGGATATTTGAGCCTTTTCTCTTGTTCTTCCTCTCCTTCCCTTTCTCCCCTTTTGCATTCCCCTTCTGGCCCGTCACCTCTTGATGAGACGTGATGCTGGTGGGCCCAGTTGTACAGCTGCCATAGATCTCCCCCTCTCTTCATTGCCGTGGTGGTCTCTTGAATTTGAAGACAGAAAAATCAACAGACAAGAAAAGTGGGGCAGTCAGTGGGGTGCAGGCGAAAGCCCTCCCGCTGCCTGACTAGGTGCCATCTGTCAGTGACCGGCCGGCCGGTGGTCAGAGGGGTGGGAAGAGAAAATCACATGTGCTTGGTGGTTGCAAGGAACTGTTTCCATTAAGAAGTGGGAGGAGGGAGGGGCATATTGGTTTAGAAATGCCAAATGTCTCTTTCTCTTGCTGCCCCTGTGGCCACCACTTCCAGTACAAAAGGTCAAGATCTGTCCATGTTCATACCTGCCTCTGGAGTGTGGGCAGGCAGGCTCAAGGCTGAGCCCAGAGCCAGTGTCCCGGAGCACACCCATGCCCCACCCCATTGTGGGCATAGGAGTGCAGTGTGGCCACTGACCCGTAACATCCGGTTTGTATTTTCTGCCCACGGTGAAGTGGCTACCTACCAAAGACTTCGTGCAATGATTAGATTCTTCTCCGGTCCTGTCCTGTCCCATTTCTTTTAACAAGATGCTAGTGTCTAGCCTGCTGTGTGTGTTTGGGGGGGCGGGGGGGGGGCGGGGGACAAGGGTGGTGGGGGAGCACTGACTGATAGTGAAGCGGCGTGCAGGGCGGGGACGCAGAAAGCACGGTCTTGACGAAATCCAACCAGAAACAAGAAACAGGAGCCTCTGCTAACTTCCTTTCCAAAGCTGCTAGTTGCCAAAAGTGGGAGTGGGCGCCTGTAGCATTATTGTCAGGTAAGTGGCTTCTCGCTGATCCATTACTGCCCTGTCCAGCGAAAGGAGGAGCAAAAGACATCCCAGCTGAGCTGCCCAGCTCTCCCTGAGTTAGCCTGAGTCCTCGTGGGGTCTCCTGGTCTTCATTTGCGAGATGACGGCAGGATGAGACCACCTAAAAGGTTTCTTCTAGTTTTCAGGACCATTCTGTGAGGGCAGCTTGAGGCCATATGCCTAGGAGATTTGGAGGGAACAGAGGGGATCTCACTTATTAGATCATAGAAACAAAGCTCCCTCCTGCCCCCAAGGTCAGTTCACAACCAGCAGTTCTCTTCGACGGGAGCAACAGTAAAGACTTTAACAGCCTGGGTTGGCGGTGTGGCCCTACTACGTTCTTTATTGTCCCGCAGTCTCTGTGTTTGTGGACTTACACATAAAGTACCTGGAAACAGCATTCTCTGCCTTCTCCTCACTGTCACTTCATGTGATAGCAGTCTACTACTGATAGTATGTGCTCACAGTTTGGGGACAGTAAATGACATTTTCAGTGAAATACAAGCTCTTGCTAGCAGCAGCAAGGGACAGGAGTGGGATAGTTTGAAGGTTTTGTTGGTATTGGAGATGATGGAAGTCAGTAATATGGAAGCAGAGGTCATTGCAGGAACGATGAAAGGCAGAGGACTAATGCTGCATCGGGCTCATTGTTGCATGGGTTTGGGCCCATAAATTGCTTGGCATCATGAACCAGGCAGAAGCGAAATGAAGTGCGCTGGAAAGGCCTCAGCAGTTGGGGGAAGGACAGCGCACCGCAGGCACCTCAGAAAGAGCTGCTGCTAAGCACTGTCGAGTTGGTACCAACTCAGAGCGACCTTTTGCACTACAGAACCAAACACTGCCTGGTCCTGCGCCAACCTCACAGTTGTTGCTATGTTTGAGGCCATCACTGCTGCCACTGTGCCAGTTCACCTCATTGGGGGTCGTCCTCTTTTTCACGGACCCTCCTCCGTTTTACCAAGCATGATATCCTCCAGGTACTGGTCCCTCCTGGTAAAATGTCCAAAGTATGAGAGATGCAGTCTGGCCATCTTGGCTTCTAAGGAGCACTCTGGCTGTACTTCTTACAACACAAATTGGTTTGCTCTTTTGGTAGTCCATGGTACTTTTAATAGTCTCCTCCTACACCATAATTCAGAGGCACTGATTCTTCTACGGTCTTTCTTATTCACTGCCCAGCTTTCGCATGCATATCAGGCTATTGATAATCCCATGGTCTGGGTCAGGCGCACCTCCTCAGACTGACACCATTCCTGTTGGTTCCCCCACTTGTCTGTCAGTTTGTCCTACTGTGTTTGCTTGTGTGTTGCTGTGATTCTGGAAGCTATGGGACCGGTATTTTAATTAGTAACAGGGACTCCGACGGTGGACAGGTTTCAGCGGAACTTCCTAACTAAGACAGAGGACAAAGGAGATTCAGACTACTTCCGAGTATTGAGACGTGTAAAACCTTATGATTAGCAGTGGGTCACTGTCAACACTAGCAATAGCTGGTGTACCCTGTAACCTCCCTCTCTTAGGCCCTGAATGCTTGGGGGCGGCGGAGTTTGGCCTGGACTCTGACTCACTTGGTCATGTGATGAGCCACACGGTTTTGGTTTTGTGGCAGGAATGGTTCATATAGAGTTTCTTGATAAAATTGATTGCGAGTGGCTACGAGTAGTTCACTATTAGAAAGATCAGACGTTAGGATGTTTGAGTGGTTGCTCTGTGTTACCCCTAAAGCATCACCTGACTGAGTTCACAGCGCACTCGCCTGCAGCACATGAAGAGATGGAAGGTGCCTGGCTTTATTTTCCATTTTCAGTCTGTGACCTCTAAGCCCTCACAAATGACTGGACGTTCTCTCAAGTCACAAAGTTTCAAGGGGAACTGCTCCATTGAAGGGAAGTAGGTTCCCAGCAAGACTCGTTTTCCTTAGACTGCTGGATGAGTTTGAACCACTAGCCATTTGGCTAGTACTTGAGCACAAAGTGTTTGCCACACCCAGACCACCCAGAGACCTTCTAATACCTGCCCAGCTCACTGCTGTCAAGTCCATTCTGACTTACAGCGATCCTATGTAAGTTTCCAAGGTTGTAAATCTTTATAGAATCAGAAAGCCACCTCTCTTTTCCACGGAGCAGCTGGTGGGTTCCAACTGCTGACCTTGCAGTTAGCAGCCCAACATTAACCCATAACGCCACCAGGGCTCTCCAGTATATGCCTAACAGTGTAATGTTCCCAAGTCATTATAACTCATAATTGTTAAGTGTTGCTAGGTCAATTTTGATTCATAGCGATGCTGTATAGGGTTTACGATAAGCAGTTGGTGAGTTTGAACCGCTTACCTTGTGACTAGCAGTCCAGTGCTTATCCTGCGGCTCCACATCAGGAGTCTGGAGAGTCTCCCGCAGCCTTCGTTCCTGCTCGTCATGAAGCAGTTGCACCGACACACTTACACTTTCCGCACTGTTTCCTGGATGCACTCCTCAAGGATGAGTTTGATATGGCGGGGGCCGAACATCCAGGTGTGTCTCAAGACACACTGAGATACTTAGTTGGGGGGTTCCGAGCTTTGTTTATGGCATGTGCTTCTGCGCTTCATCCTCTTCTGAAGCTTGGTAGAATGCATGTTATAAAAATGGCAATGATTCTCTCAGTTAGAAATGCTCTATACTAGGTCTTTCTTTTTCTTCCTCCCCAAGTAGATGACTACTATGTGCCTGCATCAGACAGACTGCATATCATTGGTCACTCACAGTTAGGGAACAAACAAAAACATGAAACACAGTGGAAAGAAAGCCATTCTAGCTGCCAAAAAATCCCCACGACTTGAATAGTGATGATCCAGATGACTGGTTTTTCTCTTCAGAGCCATGCTTGGAAAATGAGGGCTGGTTTTAGAGTGTGTATGAGCTTTTGCTTGGGCAGGCCAAGTGGCCCGGGGATGGTGGCAGGGGAACTAAAGATGCTGATTCGTTTCTTCCAGGTTTCGGCCGGTCAAAGGGAGGCAGGAAGAGCTGAAGGAAGTGATTGAGCGATTTAAGAAAGATGAGCACCTGGAGAAAGCCTTCAAATGCCTGACTTCAGGCGACTGGGCCCGGCATTACTTCCTTAACAAGAACAAAGCGCAGGAGAAGTTATTCAAAGAGCACGTAGGTTGATTGAAGGCAATGAGACCAGTAAAGGAAAACAGCGCTGCTGAGACCAGCCTATCATAAAACCAATCTATGTGACCTCTGTAACACCCAAGAAGGCCATTTGGGTGATTATTCCCAGAGGAAACTCTGTCATCTAGATGTGAAGTTCATTGTGAACTGCTGAAGTTCCTCCCCAAAACAGGGCATTTACAGAGAGCAATGAGATGACTGTTTAATCATCCATTTTTCACATTGGTGGTGGTGGTTTATTTTTATAATTCTGAGAAACTAGCAGGCTAACCAGTTTGCAGTAAACTTAAGGTCATACTTTTTTTTCTGTTTTAGGTATTCATTTACTTGCGAATGTTTGCCGCTGACAGTGGATTTGAAATATTGCCTTGTAATAGATACTCTTCAGAGCAAAATGGAGCCAAAATAGTTGCAACAAAAGAGTGGTAACTATTAACACTAGTCCAACCCCATAAAGCCACGTTAGCTGAAGTGCTGCCTAAATGGCTGGTACATTGTTGACTCAGGCCAAGGACCCATCGGCCAGTCAGGACGGAGCAGTTGGGAGCCTGAGCATGCCCAGTGCCCTTTCACCAAGCTGCCCCCCTCAGTGATGACACTGTGGGACGCTTAGGACTCCAGGGCTGGCTAGCTCAGCTGCCAGAGTCTGTCTGTCACTGACTGGTGTAGAACAAAGGTTAGGGGGGAGGCCAGTGGTCCCAGCAGCCTGGCTGCCTTAATACGTTGCCTGGTTGAAGAGGTGCGCCAGCATAGATAGAAAGTCAGCAGGCTGAGCCCCGCTAGAGGACATGGTTCTCTGTTCCAACACCTACCGCCACCTTCCCGCCCCTCTCACACCTGCCTCCCCCATGCTTCTTATCCCAGAAACCATGGGCTGCAAGGGTCTGAAAATGGCATGGGCAAAGGAGCACTTCCTCCTGGCCTCCCTGGTTGTTGGCGGGGGGGAGTGCATGTGCAGTCTGTACCTTAGGGTGGTCTTGAACCTGCTGTTGCAGACAGGAATGAGGGCTTGGGACCTCGGCCTCCAGCCAGCAGCCCTGGGGCTGTGGAGCCCGTAAGATGGCTGTTAAGGTCCTGCACTCACCAGACAACATAGCACCTCGTGTTTCTCATTCCTGTCTCCTTGTGTGGACTTGAAACTTTGGGATATAGTTGAAGTTTGACTTGTATTCACGACTTTAGTGTGCCTCTGGGAAACTGTGAGGTCCCCATGCGCTGTGCCGCGCTGCTCAAACAGGTAGTGTGGTACAGTCGTGGGTTCTTGGCACCCTCCGTGACTGCAGCCCATTGTTCAGCACTGGGTCTGAGCCCCTTCCTGCTGCAAACAGCTCTCCCCAGGCTGCAGGCGAGTCTGACCTAGAGCCCTGTCCCTGCCCAGAAGGCCCTGGAGTCCCATCCTGGCTATTGTAGAGGTCAAGCAGAAACACAGACAACTACTACAAGGCTGTGGGGCTTCCCCAAAGAAGCCGCCCAAGGTGGGACCCAAGGGAGGAGGCTACAGTGTCCACGGCTAGGTCTTCTCCACTCTGGTATTTAGGGGACAGGCAGATTTTATGAAAGAAGCCATCAATTTACAGTTACTAGTCATTTTTAACACATCACATATTTTAACTAGGAAACGCAATGACAAAATAGAATTACTGGTGGGTTGTATTGCCGAACTTTCAGAAATTGAGGAGAACATGTTACTCAGACACGGCGAGAACGACTTCAGTGTCATGTACTCCACCAGGAAGAACTGCGCTCAACTCTGGCTGGGCCCCGCCGCCTTCATCAACCACGGTAAGCTGTCGTGCTGAGCGGGGACTAGCATGGCCTTTACAGACACCACACAGTAGATCCTTTGGAGCTAGAGTGCTGTGTAAAGAGGGTTTCAGACCCCGAGTCCTTATCTCAGGCCTGTTGGAAGCAGTACTTCCGTAGTTTTAACTGGGCACCTTGCCTTCTGCCAAAAGTTGTAAAAGATGATGGTGGAAAGCTTATTTCTGGTTTCTGTAATTGTTCGTGTTTCAGATCTTATCAACAGTTAATTGACTTTATCTTTTGGACATTTTTCAGATTGCAGACCTAACTGTAAGGTAAGCATAAAATAATTCTGTGGTTTTGCTGAAAGTATTTCGTGTCTGCTGCAGGTGTGAGTCCCTAACGAATGGCTTTTGTTTTCAGTTCGTGTCAACTGGCAGAGACACGGCATGTGTGAAGGCTTTAAGAGACATTGAGCCTGGTGAAGAAATTTCTTGTTACTATGGAGACGGGTTTTTTGGAGAAAACAATGAGTTCTGCGAGTGTTACACTTGTGAAAGGTAAAGTACTCAGTCCCCCCTTCTCCCCACATTCTCTGGACATCCGGATGCAGGGCTTCAGCCCGGCACCTCACCTAGCACTAGTTCTGTGGACAAAGTCCAGTGATTCAGGACCTTTCAGATCGTGGTGCGTGTCCCGCTCACCATACACTTAGACACCCCCCACATACACACCCACAGAAAAGGGAAGTTCTGTGAAAAAACCTGCATGCAGCTTTGTGTGCTGTCGAGCTGTGTCATGTGGAATTTTGATGTTCTGGTGTCCACACTCTTAATAGCCCCCAGGCTCTGTCCCTTGCGCGCTCTAAGAGGCCATGCGTCCCGTAGAGACCCCTGAGGTCTGCCTGGGTAGGACTGCTCACACCATTGTCATTGTTGTCAAACGGACTCTGTCCGCCAGCTCTGAGAGGGGATGGCTCCACTGTGGACGCAGGAGGCCTGCCTCATGCATGTGAAAGCTGGACAGTGAGTGAGTAAGGAGGAGTGGAGACTTTGAATGAAGCTGCTGGCCAAGGCGCGTACACCGTGGACTGCTAGAAGGGTGGACAGATCGGTCTTAGATGTATAACTAGTGTGCCCCTCAGAAACCGGGGTAGTGAGACTGGATGCTGTGTACTTTGGGCTTGCTGTCAAGAGGAGCCTATCCCTGGAGAAGAACATCATGCTTGGTACAGTGGAGGGTCAACAAAAAGACAAAGAGACCCCCAAGGAGATGGATTGGCACAGTGGCTACAGTGGTTATGAGGATGGCACAGTTGGCAGCAGTGTTTTCTTGTGTTGTATATGAGGCACAATCGGTCAGGACCAATCAGCCATGTTTTAAATGTCAGAACAAAACTGGACTATACCTAGCTGGCGAGTTTCCTGAGACCGCAGTTTACTGTGCCTGCCAGCTTTGAAATCGAATTCATTATCTCTCCAAATGAAATTTTACAAGGTCCAGTAATTCTCCCTGGACAAATAAGGACTTACTTAGCAATTTTATCAAATTTTCCTAGTTTAGATATAGGGCTTTCCACATTCATTTTTTTCTGCGTGTTTCATTTCCTTCGAGTGTCCTAGAACTGGCAGATTCCAGTGGTGGTCAGCCACATCTGTTGTCAGGATGTGTGGCCCAGTAGCCTCAGCCCCCAGGCCCATGTTAGGGAGTGTGTCGGCATGTGTGCTAACCTGTGTTGTTTTCTCTTTCAGACGAGGAACTGGTGCTTTTAAATCCCGAGTGGGACTGCCTGCCCCTGCTCCTGTTATCAATAGCAAATACGGACTCAGAGAAACAGACAAACGTTTAAATAGGCTTAAAAAGTTAGGAGACAGCAGCAAAAACTCAGACAGTCAGTCTGTCAGCTCCAACACTGATGCAGACACCACTCAGGAAAAAAACAGTGCAAGTAAGTAAGGGAGCTTTGATTTGATACGCAGACCCTGGTTTTAAAAAAAGTATTTTCTTACCACTTGCTTTTCCTAAAGCATGCCTCACTGGTTTGGAACTTGTCGATACCGATAACAAGTCTGGTGCTTGCAAGTTTCAGCAGGCCTGAGAGGCTCTGGAGCTGGTAGCTCTAAGTTCCATACTCACTCTATAGTGAACTGTTTCTCTGGTCTACTTGGTCTTCAGCATGTGCCCCAGGGTTGTCCTGTGTGGGAGAAACGTGCAAGGAGTTAATGTTTGGTTGTGATGCCGTTAGGCCCATATGAAGACAACAGACTGGGTAAAACCATGTAGGCACGACACATTCAGGGCCTGGCCACTGTGTTCTGAAAACACAGTGCAGCGAGGAGCATTCGTAGTGACCAGTGACTTTACAGGGTCCATTTTGAACTACTTGCTTGCCTTTTTCAAAGTGAACTGGACCCAGTTCCACCTAACCTGCAGACTCAGAGTTGTGGGAGTGTTCGAATGTCACTATACAGTGGTGTGTTGTATTGCCAGCACAGAAAGCAAGAAAAGAGATTAAAAAGGAGAAAGAAAATAAACTCTGAGGTACCATTTATGTGTGTGCAAGATCTCAAGGAAACTGGAAAGAGAGTTGAGTGAGAGCGAATGGGAAAGGAGGAGAAGGCAGGCCATCCAGGCTGGGAGAGCACTGTGTTTATTCCATGGACGCGCGGGAACCTTTCATCACTGCTGGTTTCCATCTGGTGACAGCCGTTTTCTAGAGTTGCTGCTGTAGTCTGAATTGTCTGACAGGAGGGAAGGTACAGAGCGCTGACAGGGCAGTGGGCCCACTGTGAACAGTTTGGGTACTGATTTCCAACAAGACTTGTCATTGAGCACTGATGAACCCTTGAGATGGTTATTTTAGGCTTTTCTCCCTGTCATCAGCTGCAATTGGCCAACACTGATCAGCCCCCCTTCCAGACAGAAACGCCTGACCACAAGCAGGCACCTCCATGGTGGTAAACATCACCGTCCAGATCCCAGAAATATGCTGCTGGAGCGCGAGGCCAGGCTCGCCTCCTCCAATCTAAGTGAGGCCCAGGTCAACGAGAGCAGCCAGTCAGCCAATGGCTGGTGATGATAATTGCACCAGGTACCTTTGATTCCTTGGGAAAGAAGAGCTACGAAGCCTGTGGTATCAGCACCTGCGAGGCAGCCTGCCCTCAGTAAGCAGCTTTGCTCTCGGAGGGACTTTGGTGTTGTCATGCGTGGACTTGAGTGTTTGGACACTGAACTCCATGTTCCACTGAAAGTCTGAGTGTGACTGAGTCTACTGATGAATTAATATGTACCTGTCTGGGAATTTCTGTTTAATAGTTACTAAAACAAGTCTGCTAGTAGCTGGTGGTGCCGTCGTTAAGTGCTTAGCTGCTAATAGAAAGGTCAGCAGCTCCCTAACCTGCTCCTGTCAGGACTGCAGCTTAGGGTCCCACGGGGTGGTTCTGCTCACCTGCACACCTGCTCCTCACTCACTCACTGTCCTTCATCAGTTTCTCTTTACGATAGTGAGACAACTGTCGAACTGTCTCACACATTAACCATGCGTCTGGCGGTAATGAAGACAGGTGTGAACCAAGAGTCAAGCTGCCTGCGAAGGTGAGGTGTCAAGTTGACTGAGCCCTGATCCTCAGTGGTTTCGCACCCTCCACTCAGTGATCTTCACATACCACCTGGTCTTGGTTGATAAGTGAGGAGTGGGTAAGGGTCATGATGAGTTGGAACCAACTCGTTGACACATGACAAGATTGCAGAGGCAACATCCAGAGATGTAAGAGCCACCTCCCCTATGCACTGTCTCCACAGGCAGCCCCTATGTGCAGGGTGCACAGGGGTGTGCTCAGTCTCAGAGTTGGCACAGGACTGCTGCTCCTGGGGTACTTGTGTGGCCCACTGCATGTCTGCAGAGCTGTTGAGCCATTCAGGGGTTGGGGTGCTACGCTGGGTGCCAGGGATCAGCGCTCCATGAAAGAAGCTTAAGCCCGGTGATGTTGAAACCCTGTTCACAGAAGTATTTTTCTCATGTTCTGACATAAATTCTTTTCGGCAGTTGTTTTTTGGAGTGTTTGTATATCGAACTGTATTCTTTTATTTGCGAGTAAGACTTTTTAAACAGTAGGTGGTGGCAGGCGGCATGTTCGTGTGCAGGGTCAGGGCGCTCTCTGGAAATTGGCCGATGCCTTTCTTCTGGGCAGCATGTTTCTCCATCTCAGTGGAGAAGTTGTTCCTTCCTGGCATGGAAGGTTGTGTTTTGCAAGGTAGCTCCCAGGAGCCACAACTTGATTGTGTCATTAACGTCAGAGAGACAGAGACAACAAGAAGTCCATCCTCACTGACCCAGCACAGATCTGAGCAAATCTGAGTTGCAGATGCCACCACTGAACGCATGCCTGCGGGTCAGGTCTCAGGCTTCGCTGCGCCCACTGCCTACATTGCCGTGGGCTGAGGATCACCTGTCAAGAGACGGCAAGTGGGCCCCATGGCCAACTCTTACATCCTCTCAGGCTTTGCTCGGGAGCTGACTGCTCGTCCCCGGCACCTGTGCATCACCCACCCCCCTGTGAGAAGAAGGCTGTGCACGAGACTTGGGCCCTGGGTGCCTTGCGGAGGCTTCCTGCAGCCTCGTGCCATCATGGCTCGTGGTAGGGGTGGCAGTTGGGTGCTTTCCCAGCATGGAGCTCAGAGCTGAGGAAGGCTTTGCCTCTGTCACAGCTGCTTGCTGACTTTGAGGACACACTGAAGTGGCCGCATTGGGACAGATGCCTTCATAATTCAGTGGTGTACCTTAGAGGCAGAGTAACAAACCACTTACAAACTCTGCAGCTTGAGCCACAGACGAGCCCCTGCAGTAGAGCCTCTTGGTTTTCATCTCGGTGGGCTGAGGGCATGCTAGGTGGGCTGTGTAGGCCAGCCCAGAAGAATGCACATCTCCACTCGGATTACCGTTGACACTCACGCCTCTGGGATGAGTCCCGGCCACCAGCAGAAGAGTCCACACACCTAGCATTGGTGCTGAAGCAGGGCCGCCACAGGCCTGTGTCCAGTCTCCCTGATGGACTGTAGAAACACCGCTGCTTTTAGCTTGTTGTGGTGACCACTGCCCTCCCTTCACCTGCTCAGCACCCAGCCCCGACTCAGAACTCTCCTGCCTGGGGTGTTGTGTCAGGCTTGGTGGGGACACCTCCTGATGGGGCTTTGTTTGGATGGGAAACCACCCTGCACCTGAGTGCAGAAACACATCTTTGAGGGCTCAGCTAAGAGTACAGACCACCAGTGCTGGTGGTGACTGTGGTCCACAGCAGGGGCAGAGGGGAGGCCCAGGTCCCGTCTCCATAGAGAGACTTGCTCAGTGGATACGGGCAGTCTCGGGTGCTGAGAACACCAGAGAAGGCGCCCCCCAGAGGCTCCTTAGACGAATGTCTTCTGGGCCAGGATGCCCTCGGGTGTAGTGATGGCGGGGAGTCAGGTGCTACCACCATAGCATGCAGTCAGCTGATGGGCAGTGGGGTGGGGAGATCTGCAAGGACACGTGTGAAAGCTGACCTGCAGCCGTCTGAGCTGACAGGATGGAGGACTCGGAGTAGACTCGAGGAATGTGGGTGGCAGGTGGGCCGGTGGTGGGGGTCTGTGAGCGACCAGAGAATTGGACTGGGCACCACAGGTAGGGATAGGCACGGTGAAGCTGGTGCTTACCACCCAGAGATCATGCCATGTTTCTGACGGGCCGCTGCAGCAGAAGCTTTGGGGGGTAGGCGGACCTTCAAAGAGGCAGCCACGGGAGAGGGCTTGTCCAGTGCTGCTCTGTGGAGAGGGCAAGGTCAGGGCTTGGTGACAAGGCTGTTGTGGAGATTAGAGGGACATGCTGGAGCCCCCTGCAGGACATTGCTGTTGTGATATGCGGCTGTGGTCTAGGGGTGACTGCAGTTGTGGATGGGGACAACTGACAGGCTGACCAGGCCTCTGTTCATGGAGTGGCTGTTAAAGAAACCCATGGGAGCAGTGGGTCATCCAAGACATGTCAGGCAGCCAGACAAAGGTGGTGACCGTGGTGCTGACCTCGACCTGGGCTTTGCCTAGAAATCACCAGCACACGCGTGTGTGCATACAAGAGTCAACCCTGCACAGTCGATAGACAGACCGATGTCAGAAGTCTGGCGGGAAATCTTCTCATCACCCTTACCTTCAACCATTGCTTCTCGGCCTTGCCTCTGGCCATTTAATCAGTCTATCCTAGACTTGCATAGCCCCCGAGCTCCACTGCAGCGGCTGCCCTAGATCACAGCTCTGCTCCCTGGCTCTCCTTTCTGAACCTTCGGCCGGCCTAGGTACCCCAGAGCTATTGACTGCACAGCCCTTGAGTATAGAACCCGCCTTTCTTGGTGCTTTGATATTTTTGGAAGGCTGGTTATACTTTTCCAAGGGCTTGCTAGGGTTTCAGTTCATACGTGTATGGGTTTATTCCAAATAAAACATATAATTAAACATGTCTCTGTGATCAGTGGATGACTGCAGACACGTTTTCTCAGTAAAACATTTAGTCTTTGTTATTAGGTGCTGCTGACTTGGTTCCAGTTCATAGCATCTCTGTACAAGGGTTTCTGCGGCTATGAATCATTTTGCTTTCTCCCACAGAGCAGCTAGTGGGCTCACACCACCAACTTTGTGGTTAGCAATCCAGTATTCAGTCCACAGATCCACAGTGCTCCCTTTGTTGTTGTTGTGAAGTGCCGTCGAATTGATAATGACCCTGTATAGGGTTTTCAAGGAGCGGCTTGTGAGCTTGAACTGCTGACCTTGCAGCCCAGTGCATTTAACCCACATTTTAAAAAGAGAAAGGTTCAGTCGAAACAGTGGCTTCTGAGGGAATCTGCTGAACCAGTTAAATTCAAAGCAGAAAGGCCAGTTCAGAAGTTTGGGGTCAATGTGTTTTGGGGGCTTCAAAGGAGTCATTCTTGACAGATTATCTCGAAGGATACAGGACACTCCTGGGGACTTACTATGAAGAAGTTTTAAGAAAACGGAAACTTGCACTGAGAAACTTTCTTCCATCGTGACAATGCACCTGCTTATTCTGTGAAGGGTAGCAAGGGCTGTCGGGAATTTCCTTGGGAAACCTTATCCCTTTGTTCCAGGTGCCTGAAGTGAATTCTTAGAGAAGGGTGAGTGAGATGGAGACACCTCCACCAAGTGTCTGAAAAAACACTTTGAGAAGCAATAGCCCCACAGTTGGCTCTTTTTGTTCACTAAGGTTTCTGTGATCCAGGACCAATACTTACCCTCAGAGGCCTCCTTTCTCACAGCACTTGATTGCTGAGCTGAGCAGGAGTTGATGTTTTCCTGGCAGCAGTGGCTCGGTCTGCAGGTTCCTGGTGAGAGGTGGTGGTTAAGAGTTGTTGGATCAGGAAGAGGGGTTTGGGTTGAGATATGGGTGGACTTCATAGTTGAGGATTGACTCATGTTTACAACTGGGAGTCATTTCAGGTCGTCGGTGTAGAGGGGAAGGAAAGAGCAGCAAAAGGGCCAGGTTGTGCCGTGGCCACTGCGGGAGCAGCTTCTACTCCAGTCACGTAGGCACCTGCTGATGGCCACGCTCATTCTGTGGGCTCTCCTATACCCTTGTCTCACAGGGAAGAAGGTGATGCCCGTGCAAGTGCGGGAGATGCAGGTTAGGAGGGGCCGGAGTCTTCTCAACTGACAGCTTGTTTTGTTGCTCACTTGATTAGAAATGACAGTATATGATTCTTAGGATTATTTTTGTCTTAAAACCATTTTAATAGAATTTTTCTCTTTAAGTTTGTGAATATATTTCTGGCCAAGATAAGTAATACATTTTATTTTAAAAACAGATTTAAGCTGGTGGTTTAAAATGAATGTGTGGACAATGTGCTTTTTTTGCTCCAACTGCCTCCAGTGGTGGCAGGTGCAGCAAAGGCTGGAGGAGAGTGAGTTGAGCTCAGTGTCATCTGGGTTGTCGGTGGCTCTGACACGGACGCCTGGGCCCGCACATTACAAGGGAGAGACGCAGAAGAAACCTGGTGGTACAGTGGTCACATGCTCAGCTGCACCTCGGGAGAAAGATGAGGCGATTGTGCCCCTAAAGATGGCGGCCTTGAACCCTCTGGGCAGCTGTGCTCTGGCCTGCAGTCTCACTGTGGGAAGGAGCCCACTCTCCCTCCACAGCAGTGGGTCTGCATTGCAGGAGGGGCTGGGAATGCTTATGCGCCGCGGCCGAGCTGGCCCATCTGCGCTGGTGGGCCGAGCAGTTCCAGCTCCGTCGGCTCTGGGCCCTTGCTTCACTGAACACGCTAGTACCAAGGCTCATGGTCTGTCTTTGTTTCTTTTCTTCCACCTTACAGCTTCTAACCGAAAATCTTCAGTTGGTGTAAAAAAGAGCAGCAAGAGCCGAACGCTAACCAGGCAATCTCTGTCCAGAATTCCAGCTCCTTCCAACTCTACCTCAGCTAAACTCACTCACGTGACTAACTCCAGGGTACCAAAGAGACTGAAAACGCCGGCAAAGCCTTTACTCTCCAAGTTAAAACTACGGAATCATTGCAGACGGCTGGAGCAAAAGACTGCATCCAGAAAACTTGAAATGGGGAACCTAGTGCTTAGGGAACCCAAAGTTGTGCTGTATAAGAACTTGCCCCTTAAAAAGGACAAGGAGTCGGAGGGACCAGCACCAGCCACAGGGGCCAGCGGGTGCTTGACCAGACATGCGGCGAGAGAACACAGACAGAATTCTGAGAAGGGTGCTCATGTACGGGGCGAGGGCTCACCGTGCTCCTACATCACCCGGAGATCGGCACGCACCAAGGTGAGCCTGAAGGAAACTTCGGACATCAAGCTGGACCTGGACGCAGTAGATGGCTACAAAGATAGCGTGGCTGAAGCGAGTGTGGACGGGCCTGAGCAGCTCACCCCCAGGCTGCAAGAGGAGGCCCCAGCTCATGAAGCTGCACAGAAGGGGGACACAAGGTGCCACAAGAGTGACGGTGGCATGTCCAGAAAGAAATCACGACAAGGCAAACTGGTGAGGCCGTCTCCCAAAACAGAGGAGCCCACCCCGACACATGACACCCTAACGAGCGACGGTCTGGGGCCAGGTGTGGCGGACTCCCATTCTGACCTTGGCGAGCACAGTGGTACAGGGGGCCCGTCGGCAGGCTACACGGACTGCACTCCCTCGCCCGTCGGGTGTTCGGTCGTCACGTCAGACAGCTTCAAAGCAAAAGACAGCTTTAGGACTGCAAAGAGCAAGAAGAAGCGGCGGATCACACGGTATGATGCCCAGCTCATCCTGGAAAACAACTCCGGGATCCCCAAATTGACTCTTCGCAGGCGTCACGACAGCAGCAGCAGGACCAATGACCAGGAGAACGATGGGGTGAACTCTTCCAAAATCAGCATCAAGTTGAGCAAAGACCATGAAAATGACAATAACCTCTATGTAGCGAAGCTTAACAATGGCTTTAACTCAGGGCCGGGCAGTAGTTCAACAAAATTAAAAATCCAGCTGAAGCGGGACGAGGAGGGTCTGCGTGAGAATGGGGTGTGTTGTAGTGACCCCCTCTCTCTCCTGGAGTCCCGGATGGAGATGGACGACTACAGCCAGTACGAGGAGGAAAGCAGCGATGAGTCCTCGTCTTCAGAGGGGGACGAGGACGAGGATGACTACGATGACGACTTTGAAGACGACTTTATTCCTCTGCCACCCGCCAAGCGCCTGAGGCTAATTGTTGGGAAAGACTCTATCGACATCGACATTTCTTCCAGGAGGAGAGAAGACCAGTCTCTGAGGCTCAACGCTTAGGCGCTTGGTCTTAACTTGACCCCAGGATAATTACTTAAATTAACAACAACAACAACAACAACAAAAATTCCAGTCGGTTATTCCTCAACTGAAACGTGTCTGCGCAGCACTTCCGGCGTGCCGCCTCACTCTGGAGGATGCACCCGGCGGACTGACTCTGCTGAAGTCTGATTTGTGCACATTTTTATTGTACTTTTTAACTAGCCTTCTTACGTGCAATTCTGAGTTAGAGGGAAAGCTCTGTTGTAAAATAAAAGGTTCAAGCAAAATTGTACAGCGATGTCAACTTTCCACATGAGACGCTGAAAACAATGATGTGGCTACACAATTTTTTTTTTTTTTTAAACTCTCAGAGCATCAGTTGGCTCTTTAAAATATGACTAGACAATAACTTAAATCCTAGCAACAGCATATGAAGGTTTCCTAGTATATGCTGATATCACCAGCAATGATCTATGGCTTTCTCCTTTCTTTGCTACATGTCCCCCTTTTGGAGTTTTGTCAGTTTCCCACTGTTTGCTGGCCCAGGTGTACCATTTGTGGTCTTTGTCAAAGTAGCAAACCATTGGTTGGGAGCCAAACTGGTTTCTCTGAGGAAAATCAAAAAGCAGCAAAGTACAATAACACAAGTGAGGGCCGACTCGCGCGCCCATGGCGCGGATGAGGACGGCATTGTGCAGGGTGAGCTCCGCGCGGCCTATTTATTGCTTGTTGTGTAAATTAAAGACCTTGTATTTAACACTTTTTGATCCTTTTAGATAAAATTGTTTTTTGCAAGAATGATTGGTGCTTATTTTTTCAAAATTTGCTGTGAGCAATGTGAGGCTCACACGCAGCATTTCTCAAATGAACTACAGCTGTCTTCATTTGGTTCTTCGAGTTTTCTGTTGCACTTGTAAAATGCTACAAGGAATATTAAAAAAAAAAATCTATTCACTTTAACTTATAATAGTTTATGAAATAAAAACATGAGTCACAGTCTTTGTTCTGTGGTTACCTATAAAAATGTCTGTCTTGGGAAATTCAATGTAAAGAACTGAAAACAATGTATATGTTGTAAATATTTGTGTGTTGTGAGAAATTTTTGTCCTAAGAAATTAAAAGAACTTACCAGGAAGGTCTTTAAGTTTAGAAATAAATATTCATGCCAATAAAATAGGGAATTTTAAATATATAGAGTTTTAAGCACCGCAGCAGTGGGGAGTTCTTGGCTTTTGTTAGTTTATGTATGAAAATATCTAAGATGCTTTGCTATATTATCAAACAAAAAGAGGAGTCAGATTTTAATTTGGGGGTTTTTGTTTTATTTTGAAGCACTTTGAGAAGAGAAATTAATTTTAAGTAACTTAATGAGCAAAATTTGGATTAGTACTTGATGTCCAACACCAGACTTTTTTCCGATGTCTCTGGGTGATCGGAACAAAGAATTTGGGGCTATAACTAGTGGCAGGTGTGTGACTCCAGTGGGTTTATTCTGGGAAATGGGTGTGTGTGTGTGTGTGCTTTCAGATATACAAATGCAAAGTAGCCAGGGGATTCCAGGAGTATCTGGACAACTGGCCACTGTCTTGAGATGCAAAAAGGAGGCCGGCAGGTGATGTCAAGGCCGTGGAGAGACCTCAGTGCTAACTGTCATGGCTGACTGAGTCTCACCACTGCCAGATTCTGGGGACTGCATTTCCATCAAGTTCTTAAAACCAGTTGGTTACAAAGAGAAATGCAGACCATTCCTCATTTAGATTTCCTCCTCCTGGGTTCTCCAAGGAGCAGCTTCTGTCTCCTTGTGAAACCCCACCTTACTTGTATGGTGCAGTTTAACCCCTCAGGTACTGACTCAGAAGGAAGCAGGTGGTAGACTTGGTCCCCACACCCTCAGCTGCCTCTAGAAATGTCAGCCCCACACAGCAGGAGAGCTGCGCCGTCCGCAGTTCTCACAGCACTTTAAAGTCCCTCACGGTGTCCCTGCCGCACAGGACAGGTGAAGACAGACCCTGTGTCCTGTCGGGGGAGGAGAGCAGCGGGCCATCTCTTTCTCCCCACCTGAGCTCAAGGTGTTCAGAAGAGGGTCCGAGACTATACACCTTGACCTGTTTCGTCACTTAGCAACAATAGCCATCTTTAGGAATTTCCATCTTAAGGAAAAAGCAACATCATATTTCCTCTTCTCCCCCTACCCTCGGCCCCACTCCATTTTTTCAGCTTCATTTTAGTAATTTATTTAATGGTGTTTGTTTTCCGATTTCTTGTGGCCTCCTCGGGAGGCTGACCTTCCCGTGGGTCTCAGAGCAGTGACATTAGGTGGGGTCATTGCATCTCAGGAGTCAGTATGCACACGCACTCAACAGCCGCTGTGGATGCCTTCTCGGGCACCTCGCCTTTCGTGTTACAGGCAGGGGCCTGGGGACTGTTCTGGATCTGCTGTCAAACTGGACCCTGTGGACAGACCAAGTCCACATACTGTTGGCCAGTTTGGAAGAGGTTACCCTTCAATAATAAAACATTTTGCTTGAGCTTATGCAATGATTGGTAAAGATTTTGACATTGTAAGAATTAGGAAATGATCGTAGAAATTGTGAAGTACTCAATTTTCAATCATTTTTCCAATTACTGTGTTTTCGATTGTTTGGCTGAGTTGTAATACTTTTGAGATACAGTGTATTCCTTGTACTGAGAGAATGAAAAAGGACTTTTTCAGCATTTGAGGTAAGTTCTTTAATGTTTCATTAAAAAAAAAAAAACATTTTTTACAAATATTTTGTACATGCACTTGCAGTATTGAGGTTAATCATTTTAATAAATTCGGAAATTAAAACAGTTTGGCCAGTCTTCACTCTTAGCAGCGGGAGGGCAGATCAAAGCTGGGGCTCCCCTCACAAGGTTTGTAGGTCGGCAGAATTTGTCGGTGCCCAGCCAAACTCGGCTACTCGAAGTTTAAAGAATTGATTCCTCATTGTTTTTAAACTACATCCCTGGAAAATAGGAAAACTGGTTGGTGGGGATTCTCCCATATCTAAAACTAAAACACACCCATGAAAGCATGTACGTCAGCCACTAAAAGTCTTTATAGCTCCCAGTTTGTAATGGTGGTGGTGTGTTTAGTCGGTTCTGACTCATAGTGACCCTGCATGGGCTTTCTGAGGCTGTTAATCTTTATAGAAGCAGAAAGCCGCCTGTTTCTCCCACAGAACAGCTGGTAGTTTCGAACGGCTGACCTTGAGGTTAGCAGCCCTACTCGGAACCACTATGCTACCAGAGCTCCAATTTTTAATAGCCAATGTCTAAATTGCCCGTCCCTATCAACCTAGACTACCACTGGACCAATATATAACATGACAAATTGAGAAAAGATTGAAGATGTCAAATACTTGGTTTTGCTCAGATCAACCATCAACACTCATGGAAGCAACCATCAAGAAATCAAGCCACATATATTGCATTAGGCAAATCAGCTTCACAAGACCTCTTTAAAGTGTTCCAAGAGCAAAGGTGGCAGTTTGAGGACTAAGGTGTGCCTGACCCAAGCCATGGTATTTTCGATAATCTCATATGCATGTGAAAGTTGGACAGTGAATAAGGAAGGCCTTAGAAGAACTGATGCATTTGAGTTTATGGTGTTGGAGGGGAATATTAAAAGTACCATGAACTGCCAAAAAAACAAAACAACCTGGAAGCCAGGATGTCCAGACTTTGTCTTTCGTACTTCTGACCTATTATCAGGAGGGACTAGTCCCTGGAGAAGCAGATCATGTTTGGCAAAGCGGAGGGTTGGAGAGAGAAGAAAGACACCCCACTGCCCCCAACAAAATAGAATGTCACAATGGCAGTAGCGATGGGCTTAGGCATAGCAACGATAATGAGGTTGGCGCAGGACTGGGCAGTGTTTTGTTCTGTTGTGCACAGAGCCTCTATGAGTCATTACCGACTCGATGGCACCTAACAACAAGTACACTGGGGAAACAAGCATGTTCCTTGATACGAAGAACCTACCATTCCCATTGGGATTTTGATCAACTTCATTCATAAGCTAAAGGTCCAAGCCAACAAGTCGAAGCAACTGACACTTGCTCAGAGTATCAAACATCATTATCTGGTATGTTTCTGGTCAGCTCAATTTCACTGTCCAAGATAGGACAAATGGGTACCAGCTGCAAGTTTGGGAGTTAACACACACCTCTCTGCACTTCAGACCAGCTGGCACTTCACTCGTAGCCCTACCCCAATGGGCTCAGGAGTCCACACAACTCCCTAAGCTTCAGACCAGCCAGACTTCCCGCTCCTCTGATCGCAAAGCCAGCTGGTGCCAATAAAACACCTCCAAACTCAGCCTGTGTCTTCACTGCTGCACCTCCCCCAGTTCCACTCACACGTGGATGTAGGTGGTCACCAGTGAGCATACTACTCGCTGGTCCCCTTTAACCTTCAGTCCTAGAAGGGGCTTTTCTCTGATGGGCTGACTTTCCTGGCCTTGACACCTCCAAAACAAAACAAGCTGTCCACTTTTGCTTTTTTTTCTCTGCTTGAATCTCCTGTTCTCCCAGCAGTTCTGATGCAGTCTGCATGTCATTTCAAATGCAAATATCCCAACTTGGATGGTTCTGGGTGGGGCTCAGGAGTCCACCTAAAGCTCCATACTCTATGAAGGTTTAAAACAGAAAACCTATTTTTTCTCCAGGCAACTTCTAACTTCTATTGAAGCAAATCCAATCAAGTTAGGCTGCAGACGGGCTTACAAGACGGACTCTATAACAATAATTCCTAATATTCCTATTCAGTAGGAAAGGTAAAACATTAACTGCCTCCAACCCGCCCCAGAGACAAGTTAGAATGTTAATCAGGTTACTGAATAGGACCAATCCTCCCCACCCTGGAGATAAACTAGAATGTTAATCAAGTTACCATTCTTCTGGTTTCCCTCCTGTCCTCAAACAGGTCTGCAACATAGCCCCTCCCCGATTCTGACTCCATTCTGTAAGCCCGTACTGACCTGCATTCTGAGCTCA